ACCTGCTAGGCACTCAGTGCGTGGGTGTTGGGTCAGTGATTCAGTGGCCATTGGAGGCCAAGGGGCAGAGCTGTGCTCACAGCATAAGCACTGGTCCTTGCTGAGGTTGTACCGGGGAGTGAGGACCTACTAGGCCCTCAGGAATGGCCATCGAGTTGGTCACAGGTGATGTGCACGCCTGGGCTGGCAGGAGCCGCAGAGTGTGGAGATGGGACTCAGATGGTCAGCGGGTCCTGTGGCTTAAGCAAAACCAGGCCTTGGGTGCCTTCCTCCTCTGTGCTCTGCCCCAGGGGTCACTGGCCACCCTGATCCCGCCCACATCTCCCCTGCCCTCAGAGGAGGGGTGTGGGAAGGGGCTGTCCCGAGAGGAAAAGATCTGAGAGCAGTGTGGATTTGACAGGACATGCCATCACATCTTGGGGAGGGGACCCTGTGTGACAGACAGGTAGACCAAGGATGAACCTGCCCTCGGGGTTCCCTGTCTACCCAGTGCCCATCTTTAAAAAATATATATGTATTTAGTTAGTTATTGCAAGGCAGAGTTACAGAGAGGAGGGAAGATGCAGAGAGAGAGAGATCTTCCATCTGCTTGTTGCTCCCCTAATGGCTGCAGCAGCCAGGACTGAAGCCAGGAGCTTCTTCCGGGTCTCCCATGTGGGTGCAGGGGCCCAAGCACTTGCTTTCCCAGGCGCATCAGCAGGGAGCTGGATCAGAAGTGGAGCACCCGGGACTCGAACCCACACTGTAGACAGCCTCCCCCGCCGCCGTGCCCATCTTAGAGATGAGCAGAGACCCTGAAGGACCTGGTGACTGGCCCAGTCGCCTGGCAGTAGACGGAGCAGCAGTGAGAGACGCTGGGGGCCTGGGGGCCTGGGTCCCTGCTTGGGTGGGGAAGGACTCCTGCTGGCCTGGCCTGGGGATGAGACTTCATTCCCGCCCTGCTTAGGAGCTGGCCTGGCCTGGCCTGGCCCTCAGGCTGGGAGGTGGTGGGGAAGCGCTGCACCCTGGGAAACAGGGCAGGGTCCCTGCCCCTCCTCCTCCCCTGCTTTGTGTCTAGGCCTGCACAGCCTCTTTCTCACCCTCCCCCAGGCTCCTCCTCTTCCTTGTGTCTCCATTCCTCCCTCTCTCTCTCTTTCTCTCCCTCCCTGCCTCCCCTCCCCCACTCCCAGCACAACTACAGTCTGGCAGCTGCTCCGTTTCTCTCGTCCTTGCCTTCTGCCCGCTCTGGGGACCGGGGGTGCCCTGGGAGGAGGCCACACTGCAGCCCCTCTGGCCACCCCTAGTCTCCTGAGCCAGGCCCTGCGAGAGCCCAGAGCTTTTGTTAAGTCCTCTGCACGAGTGGAGGGGAGAAGCCTGAGAATGGGGGTGCCCCCTCACCCCAACAGGGACAGAGGGCTCTACGGTGGGGTGGGGAGGGGACCCTGGCAGACAGGTGCCATGCACCTGGCCTGCAGGGCATAAAGCAGAGGGCGTGGCCTGTGGGAAGGAGCAGGCCCAGGCCTGGGAGAAGTGAATCAGAAAGCCAAGGGTGGGGTGGAGGGGAGTGGACAGGGTCAGAGTCCCCGGCCCCGACTCAGATGACGAGCAGGCAGCGGGCCAGTGAGCCTCTTCGTACCCACACAGCCTGCCCCAGGAGCCCCAGGAGCCCCACTGATCGGCCCTGCCCGGTGGCCTTCGTTCTGTCCAGGCAAGTCCCACCCAGTGGGCGGGAGAAGGCTTCTGGCAGAAGCGGATACCCCAGGAGGGGCTCTGGTCACCCTCAGAGCTGGCCCTGGGCCCAGGTGAGGCCCAAGAGGCCTGGGTGCAGACCCAGCTCACGCCCCCTCCCCCACGCCGAGCAAGGCTGAGAAATGGGGGAACAGACTGTCGCGCGCTCACAACATACACACACCCCATGGGGTTGATCTGGGGATGATCCGGCTCACCTGGGACCTGTCCCACACGAGAGCCATGGCTCCGCCTCCGTATTTGTGTTTCGTTGTTTGCACCCCTCTGTGGCCACAGGAGCCCAGGGCTTTGGGACTCTCACATCAAACCACCCGCCCACGCCTGGCAGGTGTGGTCTGTAGCTGGTGACCATGAGTGGACAGTCAGGGCCCACGGACCCATGCACCTGCTCCCCGGGCAGGTGTTGCTTGGCCTGTTTGCATCTCTGCACCTGTTCCGAGAGGAGGCGGGGCCTGGGATGGGCACCTCATCCCCACGCAAGAAGAGGACACGGAGGCGTGGGCCGTGCCCTCGCTGTACCCCTGCTTGTCAGCACTTGCTCCCGCGGGCCCTGCCTTGGGAAAGTCCGGGGGAAAAACCGCTGAGTGGATCAGCCCACTGCCAGCCCGCAGACATGGGGGCTGCCGAAGCAGGAGGCGGCGGGGGCCAGCTTGGGGGAGGCGGGGGAGGGGAGGCTCCCAGCGTGGCTGGGCCAGGCCCAGAAGGTTGGGACCGGGCCTCACCCCTCACCTGGTGCCTCCAGCCCCCGCATTTGGCAAATCTTGGCTGCACAGGTGAACGGATGAGTTATCAGTCCCAGGCGGCCAGCCTTAGACTCGCAGAAGCGTCGCACGAAGTGGGGCCCGAGGTTGGGGAAATCTCCCAGCTGTGCACCCTGCAGGAGTCGGCTGCACCCTGGCCTGAGGCCTCCTGGGCCCGTGGGGTTTGTCTCTCACCCATCGTCCCTTTAGGGGGCACATGGGACTGTGACGTGACTTGACTTAATCCCTTCTCAGTGATCAAGCCAAGGCTCCAGGCCAGGGGCCAGGCTCCTGGGTGCATCTGAATGACGTGGCAGTGACTGATGCTTGTGTGTGGGGAGGGGGCAGGTTCTGAAACAGCCCCCACCCCCAGGCTTCCCAGGGGCACGCTGAGTCCCCAGCCCCCACCGCAGGTTTCCTCCTATTGCTCCCATCCACGAGAGCTCACTCCCGGCTTAATAATTTAATCTGTACTGTCCGCTTCAAGGAGGCCGAATTCCTGTCTGGGGTATTTTTAGCCTCAGGAAAGGGAAGCTCCACTGGGCGCTGGGGGAGGGCGGAACCAGGCCAGGCCATTTCCTGAGGAACGTCCAGCAGGCCCTGGCCCTGGCCTGGGAGGAGAGCCCGAGGGACAGGCAGGAGTCACCCCAGGAATGCCAGCCCCTTCCTCTGACGGGCTGGGCACTGAGCCAGGGCCAGGGGGACAGGCAGGAGCTTCCGAGGCCCAGAGGCAGCGCCAGGCCCCCACGGGCGCAGCTGGGCGCTGCACAGTCCTGGGGGAGCCTGGAGAGTCTGGGCCGGGGGAGGGGGACCTTGAGGACCTCCTGGTTGTCCAGAGGAGGGGGCAGGGCCCCTGGGGAGGGAGGAAGCACTGCAGCCGTGGGCACCTGGGCATGTGGGCGCCCAGGAGTCCAACAGAAGAACATATTAAAACCGAAACCTTGACCTCGAGCCCCGCAGCTGGTTTTGGCGTTCAGGGCCAACCATGGGCGCCGTCGTGGGAGGCGGTCAGGGTGCCCTTGTCTCACACCAGGTCTGCCGGGGAACCCCAGCATGGAAGCCAGATAAAAGCCATACTTGTACCCGTATCCATTCACGTATTTATGTATGGAACCTTTAGAATCAAGGGACGCAGGGGGCCGTAGTGATGTCGGAGGCGCTGGGTGTCCAGGCTGCCGGTGCCTTGTCTATGGGGGCCTTCAGAAAGTTCATGGAAAATGCATATTGTGAAAAACCTCGCCTAGATTTATTTTTTTTTAAAAGATTGATTTATTTGAGAGGCAGAGTTACACCCATATGGGATGCCGGCGCTGCAGGCAAAGGCTTAATCTACTCACCACAGTGCCAGCCCCCTATAGATTTTTGTTTCTAACACCAAGATAAACAAACTTAGCTTTTAATTCCACTTTGCACAACCTCTTTAAAGTTCCTTCATTCCTACAGCCACGCCATTACAAATGGTGACAGCTGGCCACCAGCCACGGTGCCGGCATCCCTTATGGCACTGGTTCATGTTCCAGCTGTTCTGCTCCGCTTCCCGGCCCAGCTCCCTGCTAACGTATCTGGGAAAGCCGCAGAAGATGGCTCAAGTGCTTGGGTCCCTGCACCCACAAGAGGAGCCGGAAGAAGTTCCTGGCTTTAGCCCTGGCCATGGTGGCCATTTGGGGGAGTGAACCAACATATGTCTCTGTCTCTCCCTCTGCCTTTCAAATAAATAAATACATTTTTAAAAATTTACTTATTTATTTTAAAGGCAGAGTTACAGAGAGAATGAGAGACAGAGAGAGATCTTCCATCCCCTGATTCGCTCCCCAAATGACTACAATGGCCAGGGCTGGGACAGGCAGAAGCCAGGAGCAAGGAACTTTATCCAGGTCTCTCGTATGGATGGAGGGCCATCTTCCACTGCTTTCGAAGGTGCCTTAGCAGGGAGCTGGATCGGAAGTGGAGCAGCCGGGACAGGAACCAGTGCCCACATGGGATGCCAGCACTGCAGGCGGCTGCACCACAGCACCAGCCCAATAAAAAAAAAGAAAAAGAGAGAGAGAGAGAGAAAGAGCTGTCTGGCACCGCACCCACCAGGCAGTCTCAGAGTCTGTGCACAATTAATCACCCTGGCAGCCAAGCCAGCGGGGCGTGCAGTGTGTGGGCGTGCAGCACGCACTGCATTGGAGAAGGGGAATTTGGAAAGTCCGTTCTGAGAATAGTCTTCAGTTCCAGTCAGATTTTTGAGGAAGTATGCAAGGACCTGCAGGGCACGGTTTGAGAAAATCCAACCACCCCGTTTTACAGATGGGAAGACTGAGGCCGGCCGGGGGCGGGCAGGGCTCACCCAGGGTGCCACAGGGAGATGGAGGAGATGGATTGATACACAGAGGGTATCATTGCACTCCATAATTAATTACTAGTGTGTGCTGTCTCCAAAGCAGGAGACAGACGTCAGGGCCAGACACACCCAGCGGTAGCTGCGGCCCTGAGCTGTGTCTGTGCTGCCCTGAGCCGCGGACACTCACGTTTCTCTCCCTTCCACAGCCATGCCCGCCTAGCCGGCCGCCGCGGGATGGAGGGCTTCATGGACTCAGGGACACAGACGGACGCTGTGGTGGTGCTGTCCTTGGCACAGGCCGCCGTGCTGGGCCTGGTCTCGGAAAATGAGCTCTTCGGAGCCACCATAAGCGCCCAGGCCTTCTACCAGGACCTGGGCCCTGAGCTGCCGGGGACGGCCCTGGGCGAGCCGGGGCCGCCGGGCCCCGAGGTCTACCAGCTGGCCTGCAACGGGCGGGCCCTGGAGGAACCAGCCGAGGAGGAGGTGCTGGAGGTGGAGGCGGCCTGCGAGAAGCACACCCGGCGGAAGACGCGGCCCCCGGTGCGGCTGGTGCCCAAGGTCAAGTTCGAGAAGGTGGAGGAGGAGGAGGAGCAGGAGGTGTACGAGGTCTCTGTGCCTGGGGACAAGGATGCAGGCCCGGCCGAGGCCCCTGCCGAGGCAGCAGGTGGCGGCTGCGAGACCCTGGTGCAGAGCAGTGCCGTCAAGATGATCGACCTCAGCGCCTTCAGCCGCAAGCCCCGGACGCTCCGGCACCTGCCGCGGACCCCCAGGCCCGAGCTGGACGTGGCCCCCTACGAGCCTCACTTCCCGGAGCCGGCCCGGGACGGCTTCCCCGAGCCCAGCCTGGCGCTGCCCGGGCCGGAGGCCTTGCCCGCCGAGTGTGGCTTCGAGCCACCGGCACACCTGGCCCCCCTGAGTGACCCCGAGCCGCCCGCCCTGGCGTCACCGGAGCCCGTGAAGCCGGAGCAGGGCTTTGTGTGGCAGGAGGCGGGCGAGTTCGAGGCGGACGCGGCCGGCTCCACGGCGGAGCGGCACAAGAAGGCGCAGCTGGACCGGCTGGACATCAACGTGCAGATCGACGACTCGTACCTGGTGGAGGCGGGCGACCGGCAGAAGCGCTGGCAGTGCCGCATGTGCGAGAAGTCCTACACGTCCAAGTACAACCTGGTGACGCACATCCTGGGCCACAACGGCATCAAGCCGCACTCGTGCCCGCACTGCAGCAAGCTCTTCAAGCAGCCCAGCCACCTGCAGACGCACCTGCTCACGCACCAGGGCACGCGGCCCCACAAGTGCCAGGTGTGCCACAAGGCCTTCACGCAGACCAGCCACCTGAAGCGCCACATGCTGCTGCACTCGGAGGTCAAGCCCTACAGCTGCCACTTCTGCGGCCGCGGCTTCGCCTACCCCAGCGAGCTCAAGGCCCACGAGGTGAAGCACGAGAGCGGCCGCTGCCACGTGTGCGTCGAGTGCGGCCTGGACTTCTCCACCCTGACGCAGCTCAAGCGCCACCTGGCCTCCCACCAGGGCCCCACCCTCTACCAGTGCCTGGAGTGCGACAAGTCCTTCCACTACCGCAGCCAGCTGCAGAACCACATGCTCAAGCACCAGAACGTGCGGCCCTTCGTGTGCACCGAGTGCGGCATGGAGTTCAGCCAGATCCACCACCTGAAGCAGCACTCGCTCACCCACAAGGTAAGGCCGCCCCGCCCCGCCCCCGGCCCATGGCCCCGCCCCCGGCCCATGGCCCCGGCCCCGCCCCCAGCCCATGGCCCCGCCCCCTGGCCCCCGCCCCGGAGCCCTTGTCCTCCTCACTTCCCGCCCCCCCACCCCTGGATGACGTCATGCAGGGGCTGGACAGACAGACACCCCTCTTACCTTTATACTTGTGTATTTGTTTTGGACGAGATCTAGGAAGAAATAGAGTTGCAATTCATATTCTTCACCAGAAAACCTTTCTTATTTAAATGGAATGAAACTTTAAAAAAATATTTATTTATTTGAAGGGCAGAATTACAAAGAGAGAGAGACAGGTCTTTTACCTGCTGGTTCACTCCCCAAATGGCCGCAGCGGCTGGAGCTGTGCCAATCCAAAGCCAGGAGCTTTCTCTGGGTCTCCCATGCGGGTGCAGGGGCCCAAGGACTTGGGTTGTCCTCTGCTGCTTTCCCAGGCCATAGCAGAGAGCTGGATGGGAAGTGGAGCAGCTGGGACTCGAACCCTGCAGGGCCCCACAAGACCGAATTTGAGCACTGCCGAGGGAGTCTGGCCTCCTGCTTTTTGGACAGAGGCCAGGGCCGCGGAGGCGGTGGATCCAAGTGGGCGACCTCCCTGTAGGCAGAGGCTGAGTGTATTTAGTTGTAAACGGGAAGGAAATGGAAGGAAGAGTATTTGCTGTAGAGAGTGCAAAGGGTTCTAGAATGTGGCATGAATGGGTTTATAAGCAGGGCCCCCTGCTGGCCACACGCCCCTGCGGCGCGTCCCTGGGCTGCACCTCTGCAGGCTCCGCCCCACGCGTCAGCCGTGACACACACAGGGAAGTGGGGAATTCCAAGAGGAAACTTTGCACCAGCCCAGCACGCGGCTGTCCATCCGGGTCCCTCCTAAGTGATTTACAAACCTGGTAGCCTGAGTTGCCTCCACGGGCAACACCTGGGACCCCCTGTGCACCCAGCACCCTGAACCACTCCAGAAGTCAGCTCCAGACCGGAGACGACCAGGGCGCCCCCGACCTGTCTCCCGGGGCTGAGACAAGAGCTGCCAGGGAGGCCTGGGGGGAATCCGTGTCCCAGGGTCCCTCCCGGGCCCCACTGAGAAACCGCGTGTGGTCCAACAAGTGCAGGCGGCTCTTGGAAAACGCCCTCTCACAGGGCTGGTGAGCGTCAGCCATTTTCCTCGGGGGGCCACAGCCATGATCATATTCACGGAGACCCCAAGAGTTAGCACCGAGGAGAAGGACGGGCCCCCGACCCCGGATCCTGATCACAGACCCAGCGTGGTACTGGCCTGTAGCGGGTGCCTGGGAAGTGTTGCTGAGTGAAGGAATGAATGACTGATTGAATGAATGCACACACATTGGCCTCAGTGCACACCGGATAGCAACAGGAAGACATGATTTCTGCCATCACTGGAGGACTTCCTGGAGTAAGAGGCGGTACCTGGTTGGATACCCCCAGAGGCGGGGCCTGTGTGATGCCACAGCTCTGACACCTGCCCCACTGGGTTCCGCCCGGACGCTGTGCCCGGACGTTGTGTGGCCCTGACCGCTGCCCTTCCCCCACCCCAGGGCGTGAAGGAGTTCAAGTGCGAGGTGTGTGGCCGGGAGTTCACCCTGCAGGCGAACATGAAGCGACACATGCTGATCCACACCAGCGTCCGGCCCTACCAGTGCCACATCTGCTTCAAGACCTTCGTGCAGAAGCAGACCCTCAAGACCCACATGATTGTACACTCGCCCGTGAAGCCATTCAAGTGCAAGGTACCGCCTGGGGCGCGGGGCGGGGCGGGGGGGTCGCGGCCTGGCTGCCCGAGGCCTTGCTGGGGCTCAGGGTTGAGACGGGCAGGTGCGGCCCGGAGCCTAGGAGCTGGGCAGTCGTGTTTCTTGTGAGCCGCACGCAGGTCAAGGTGTGGCCACGAGAAAGGCCCAGGCTCGGTACTGGGTGCCTTGAGGGCGCCAGCTCAGTCGGGGGGGGGAGGGCGCGGCAGAGCCCCTGGAAGTGACCGGAAGCTCTGGCTTGCTTCTCGGCCTCCGGGGGCACGGGGCGGGAGTTCTGGCCCAGCCGTGGAGGTGGGAGCAGGCTGGCGCTGTGCAGCGGGCTCCCCCGGCTGACGGGGCGCATGGGTGTGTCCTAGGTGTGCGGGAAGTCCTTCAACCGCATGTACAACCTGCTGGGCCACATGCACCTGCACGCGGGCAGCAAGCCCTTCAAGTGCCCCTACTGCTCCAGCAAGTTCAACCTCAAGGGCAACCTGAGCCGGCACATGAAGGTCAAGCACGGCGTCATGGACATCGGCCTGGACAGCCAAGGTGGGTGGGCTGTGCGCAGCAGACAGAGCGGGAGCGATGCCGGCGTGGCGCACACAGGAGCTTCCGTGAGGGCGGCGGGGGCACTGGCCAAGGCCGTGACGCCCCTGGAGAGGGCTCAGGTCTGCAGAGGGGGAACCCTGGAGAGTCATCGTGGCCGTGGTGATGGGCACTTATGTCTCCTTCAAAGGACTTAAATGCGCTCACGTAAACGCTAATAAAGGCAATGAGTGACCTTCGCTGAGTGCCGTGTGCCAGGCCTTTATTATCTCCCGAGATCCGCACAGCGAGGTTGGCTGGGAGACCATCCCCATTCCACACAGACGCAGCCACTGGAGGGCAGAGACACTGGCACTGCACACAGGATCACAACGCTTAGGAGGTGACGGACAGTTGATCTCATCACCACGAGACAGCCGTTAGCATAAGTGCATGGGGAATTAAGTAACGAGGAGAAATGGCAGCTGGAAAGATAAGGAAGAGCCAGGGCGGGTCACAACTCTAGGTACACTGGGGGAGAGCCTGTGGATATGCAGAGGAGAGCGATGAGCTTCCTGGCAGCCAACGCAAAGAGTGAAACCCAATCGGTCACTCTTCACAGGGGCTGCCCAAGAGACTGCAACCCACACACTCAGGAGAGGGCCACATGGTCCCACCGTTAGGATCCGGGAGAAATTTCCAGAGAGGATCCCACACCAATCTGGATTGAGTTAGACTTTCAAAGGCCACTGGCTAGAAATCATCCCCTACTCTCAGCACTAGCTGCTCCTGAGTGACAGCACTTCTGGGCCCCAGCAGGGTTGCCAGGCTTTCCAGTCCCACACAGAGAGGGTCTTTGAGCAGGGGAGAGGGAGCCGGGCACTTCAGGAAGGCTCCCGACACAGCTCGGAGCTTCTTCCAGTCCTCCCAGGGCAAACTAACCGGGCCTGGGTCTCTGCGCTCTCCCGGTGAGATGGCTGCGTGTGATGATTCCCTGGAAGCCGGCCGGGCGCTGCGGGACAGCCGTGGCGGGCGCGAGTCTGCAGAGGGGGCCCTGCGAGCCGCCGCCCAGTGCCCGACCTGGTGTCTCGCTTGGGCTGTTGACTCTCAGTTGTCTGTCACAGCTGCTTCCGCAGGTGCCGGCTGCGGCCAGGAGAGCCCTGGGGCCTTGTGCCAGCCAAATGAGGCCAGCGGCCTGGGCGGCACCTGCACCTTGCCGGACACAGGCTCTCAGCCCACAGCCCTGCCCTGCAGGCCGGAATCTGCCATTCACAGATCCCCAGGGCAGGTCCGGGGGATCACCTGGGTGGGGAGGGGCTTGTTAAACCACAGGACCCTCCCCCAGAGCCTGGGGTTCAGCAGGTCGGGGGTGGGGGCAGTCAGGGGATTGGCCCTCCCCAGCCAGCTGGGGCTCAGGACCTCACTGAGAACCTTCCGTCCAGCCCCGCCGGGGCCGTGTTCTCAGGGCAGCTGCGGGAGTCACCTGAGCCTGTTTTTTCCAGGGACAGCAGCAGCTCAAATGTCATTGACCCGGGAAGTGGCCGGGTGGTTCCGTGCGCACTGCTTTCAGGGCTGCCACTCCAGAGCCCTGCCCTGTGGCTGGCTGACCAGGCCTCTGGGAAGTAACTGGGGCCATCAGAGGGGCCTGCAGACCCCGACCCAGGCACAGTGCGGGGGCGGGCGCCTTCCCTGTGGGGTTGGGATCCAGGGGCGTCCGAACTTCCTCCTCAACTCCGGTGGGTGACAGATGGCAGCCGAGCCTGGCCCCAGAGGCCCGGGGCTGCTGTGCACCTGCCATGGCTCCCATGCATCCTGGGTGGATCTACCCAGAAACCTGAGGGGCCAGGATCCGGGGAGGTGGGCGCACATCCCCGTAACTAGAAGCACAGACTGTTCCTGGGGGCCCGCTGGACAGGGCAGCGGTTTGGTAACGTGGGGACGTCTGGGGCGTGGAGGTGCCGATTTCCCAGGGTGCTGTTTTTAGCCTGTTCCTACAGCCAGCCGTACCATGCAAGGCTGTGGCTCCAGGATTGGGAGCAGTGTGTGGGGTGTAACACGCCCACTCAGCCTGGCTTCGATAAGAAGGGAGCGGGTTAAAGAGCTGACTTGAAGTCCAGGTGGCCTTCAGAGCTGGCTGATTCAGCTCCTTGTTGATGACACCGGGGTCAGGCTCCCTGTGCCCCTGCCACAGCATCGGCTGGGATTCTCCTCCTGGCCACAAGATGGCTGCCGGTGCCCAGCCAGGCACTATGCTTCCTTATTCACATCTCGTGGGAGGGTCATGTTTCTGAACCCCTGTTGGCAAGGAATGGGATTACCCCTACCCAAGCGGTGTCAGCGGGGCGGGGCGGGGGGGGGGTCTGCTGTCAGCGGACATCTGGACATGTCTACAGATATGTGTTTTTTAATGACAAAGATTTCACTTTATTTCTAGGATTTACTTATTTGGAAGGCAGAGCAATAGATAGGGAGACAGAGACAGAGGGAATCTTCCATCCGCTGGTTCACTCCCCAAATACCTACAACCACCATGGCTGGGCCAGGCCAAAGCCTGGAGCCAGGAACTCCATGTGGGCCTCGCACAGGGGTGCAGGGGCCCAACTACTCGAGCCATCACTGCTGCTTTCCCAGGCGCATCAGGCTGGGCTCAGAGGTGCGGCAGCGGGGACCTGAACCGGAGCCCACATGGGACGCAGGCGTGGCCTAACCCGCTGTGCCAGAGCACCGGCCCCCGCAGACATCTTTGGTTATCCTAACTGGGGGATGCTCCCGGCAGCGAGCGGGCAAGGCCGGCCCGGTGACAGACACGCCCCTCTCTTGCAGACCCCATGATGGAGCTGACAGGCCCCGAGCCCTCGGAGCTGGACGGCCAGCAGGAGCTGGAGGACTTCGAGGACAATGCTTACCCCTACGCGGGCGTGGACGGCGGCGCCGAGGCCAGCGTGCTCACGGAGCAGGCCATGAAAGAGATGGCCTACTACAACGTGCTATAGCGAGGAGGGGCGGGGCTGCGGCCGCCCCCCCACCCCACCCCGCAGCTGAGAAGCAAACTACTGCCCCACCGGCCCCACCCCACCCCCCGCCCCAGGCGTTTGCACCACTAGGGACCTGTAGACCAAATGGATTCAGTACTACTGGCCTGGTCAGAGCCAGGCGCCGGCCCCTGGCGTTGTGGCCAGGGAAGCGTAGCGCAGGAGGCCCAGGCCTGGGTCTCGTCGGCCTGCTGCCGTGGGAGGAGTGCAGGAAGGCCGAGGAAGCACAAGGCCCGGGCCCAGCGGCCTCCCCAGGCCCGGCATTGCTCTTCAGGGCTCCTGACCCTGCAGGCCTTGGTCCCCTCTGACCAGCCGCTGCCTCCAGGGACCGCTGAGCGCCTGCTGCTCTGCACAGCCCACCCCCAGCCCACCAGGCCCGAGAGTCGCCGCCAGCCAGGCAGGGCCCCCTGCCTTCTACCTCCTGGGGCTCCCTGGTGCTGCAGCCAGGAGTGCCCAGAAGCGGGAGCACAACCAGGGCCCGCCCCCGGAAGGCCCCCGGCCCCCAGCCCCCAACATGGGCTCCCCAGGGTCCCCCACCCGTCCTGCCCCCAGCATGACCCAGGCAGGACACCTGGAGATGGCGGCCCCGGCACCAGGGCAGGGTGGGGGGGGCTGGAATCGTTCTGCTGAGCAAGGACGCGCTGCAGGACGGGAGGCGCGGGCTCCCCACCGAGCACCAGAGTGAAACCGAAGATGAAGACTGCACGGGCAAACAAATCTTGGCGCGCACACGGGGGTGTTTTGAAGGTAATTTATTATTTTTTCTTTCCAACTCCGTGTCGCCTGTTACCTTGTCGGATGGAGACGCCGTTCCTTTTCCAGACGTGAGCTTTCTCGTGTGCCGCGCGTGCTGTGCGCCCCCCGACCCTGCGGCAGCCTGGCTGGACAGGGCTCGCGCTCAGCGGGGCCTGCCCTCCCGCCCAGCCCCTCGCCCAGCTCAGCCCACGGTTCCTGGCCCCAGCCCCGGGCCTGTGGCTCGGGGCACTGAGCTAGCACATTCAGGAACGCCCGGGCCCACGGCCTCCACCTCTCACCTCCTGAGGCCTTGGTGGGGAGAGACGGGCAGGGCCGGCCCCGGCAGGCACAGGTGGAGCCGGCAGCTTCAGCCAGAAACCAGGAGGGGAAAGCAGCCGGCGTGGGGGGAACCCGTCTGCAAGGCAGCGACCCCCACGGCCGGGCCTCAGGGCGACCGCGATCAGGACGGAGGGGTGGACAAGGTGGCCCAAGGGTGGCCTCCCAGGTGCCCGCCATGCGGACCGTCAGGTGGCAGTGAGCCTGTCGCTGCAGAAGACACTTCTCCTGCTGGGCAGAAGGCACCATCCCCTGCAAACTACCTCTTCCCACATCTTTCCCCCTGGTACCAAAAAAGAACCCTGTACCTCCTCCTCCTCTTCCTCCTCCTCCTGCTGCCAGCGCAGTGGCCTTGGTCTTGGACTCGCCCCAGGCCGGGGTCTCCTCCCCCGCCCCCGCCCCGCCCCCAGCGGCACCGCCCTCTGCAAGATGGGATACTTGAACGCCCCTTCCCCGGGAAAAACTAGGAGGAGGATGCGCACGACCCCCGCGCACCCACCGCGGCGGCCTCGGCAACACTCCCCCCACCCCTTCCCAGCCCCCTCCGGACGACTCGGGTGACCGGGCAGCTCCTGGCGAACCCACTCTAACTTATTTTGCCGTGTGTACAAACCAACCGTTTAGACACTCACGTGTGCAGAGCCCTACTGTGTTTCTATGTTCCTGTTTCAGAGAGTTTACTTAGCAATAATTATAAATAAATGGATATTCTTTAGCAAGGCGACTGCAGAGTTCTTTCCACAGCTCTTGGGAACCTGCCCCCCTCACCAGCCACGCCCCACTCCCCTGGGAGGGGCCCCCAGCAGGGCCCTTGCACTGGCACTGGTGGGGAGGGGGCCGTCCTCTGGGCTAGGACCTCCAGCTCCAAGCCCGGGGGGAGGGGTGTGGGCCATGGCCCCACCACGTGCAGAGGGACCCCACGGCGGACACCAGCCTGGGCCTCAGGGACTGTTTTGGCCTGACCCAGGTACTTGACCCCTGCCGCCCACCTGGCCCAACTGGTTGTGGTTCTGGGCTCCTAGCTCTGGCCCGCCTAGCCCTTGGGGAGTGAGCCAGCAAATGGAAGTGCGTGCTCGCTCTCTAACTCTGCCTTTCAAGTAAATAGAATAAATCTTTAAAAAGGAAAAGCAGAGGCCTGCAGCCTCGGGCTTCCTTGCAGGAGCTGGGCTGCTCTCCACCAGGAGCCAGGGCCCTTGCCCGTGGTGGGGGCAGGGAGGGCGGGGGCGGGGCGGGGCCGGCCCACCTCCAAGCCACAGAGCGTGGATGGCAGTGGTTCCCAGCCACTGGGGTTCAGGAGCCAACCAATTAAGAGCCCCATGGAAATGAGGGCGCTTCAACTAGGTCATGGGAAAAGCAGAATTAAAAGGGAAGCTCATTTTGCTGCAGAAACATTTGGAAATTGGACAACGCTGTTGTCCTGACACACATTTTTCCACGGACTGTTTGAAGCCCCTCGTACTGAAGACGCTGGTACAGTCGTACCCTGGATCCCAAAGTCCGCGGATGCTCAGTGGTGCTGTCATTTTCAGAGGAGGGCACTTCAGGAAGGTCATGGATAGGGGCCGGCGGCAGGGCGTGCTGGCTTAAGCTACCGCCTGCAGCACCAGCATCCCATGAGGGTACCAGTTCAAGTCCTGGCTGTTCTACTTTTTTTTTTTGTTTGTTTTGGTTAAAGATTTATTAATTTATTTGAAAGGTAGAGTTACAGAGAGGCAGAGAGAGAGGTCTTCCATTCACTGGTTCACTCCCTAAATGGCCTCAATGGTCAGAGCTGGGCTGATCCGAAGCCAGGAGCCAGGAGCTCCTTCTGGGTCTCCCATGTGAGTGCAGGGGCCCAAGGACTTGAGCCATCTTCTGCTGCTTTCTCAGGCCACAGCAGAGAGCTGGATCGGAAGTGGAGCAGCTGGGACTTGAACCAGTGCCTATATGGGATGCCAGCACTGCAGGTGTTGGCTTTACCTGCTATGCCACAGTGCCGGCCCCTGTTCTACTTCTGATCCAGCTCATTGCTAATGTACCTGGGAAAGCAGCAGAGGACGGCCCAAGTGTTTGGGCCCCTGCACCCATGTGGGAGACCTGGAGGCGGCTCCTGGCTCTGGTTTCAGCCTGGCCCCGCCCCGGCCCCAGCCACTGCAGTGCATCTGGGTAGCGAACCAGCAGACGGAGGACCTCTCGGTCTCTCCCTTCCTCTGTGACTCTGCCTTTCAAATAAATACATCTTTCTTTTTTAAAAAAGTTCATGGATAAATGGAACTGAAAGGTAAGTTTGTTTTGGTATAAAAAATATAAAATATTTGAAATCCACATGCAGTTTTTTTCCATGAACTTTCTGCGTGGATTTAAAATTTTTTTGCACCAGAACAAACTCACCTTTGAGCTCTCTTCCCTCCAGCGTTCCGGCAGTGTCCCTGCATCACCTACACACATCTTCTCGTGTGCATCGAATCACCTACAAACCTCAGTAACACCTCGCACAGTGTGAGTGCTAACAAGCAGTTATATTATTTAGGGAAGAAAGACAGGAAAAAGTCTGTCCATGTTAAGTGCATACACAGTTGGGGGCGGGCGGTTCTTTTATTTGAAAGGTAGAGACAAACTTTCCATCTTCTGGTTCATTCCTCAAATGCCCACAGCAGCCTGGACGAGGCCGGGTCAAAGCCAGGAGCCAACAACTCCATGTGGGTCTCCCACGTGGGTGGCAGGGGCCCAAGTGTGTGAGCCGGCACCTGCCACCTTCCAGACCGCGCAGCAGCAGGAAGCGGAGCCCTTTGATGTGGGATGCAGCTGTCCCACGTGCTGTCTTCACATGCCTGCCCTGGCTGGGCTGCAGTCAGTCGCAGTCTGCAGCTGGTGGAGTCCACGGAGGCAAAGCTTGCAGACCCAGAGGGCCGACCTCGTTTATCAGAGACGGATGCGGCAGGTGTTCGGCCCACCGCTTAAGACGCCACTCAGGACGCCCGTGTGCCGTATCACGGGGCCCGGGCTGGAGCCGCAGCTTCTGCTTGTGATCCAGCACTCTGCTGACGTGCACCAGGGAGGCGGTGGCGATGGCTCTGCGGCGCACGTGGGAGACCTGGACTGAGTCCTAGGCCCCTGGCTTTGGCCTGGCCCAGCCCTGGCTGTTGCACATTTGGGCACTGACCCAGCAGCTGGGCATTGTCTGCCTCTGCTTTTCAAATAAAGTAAATGAGAAAATGAACCGTTTTCTAAGGGTTACACAACGCTCCCCCAGGTCATTTAGATTCGGAGTAGAAATTCAGTCGCTGCGTAGAGGATGGCGTTGGACGCAGAAGTAGTGTTAGAGCAACGCTCTACAACCTGACTTTTCAGTTTTGCCTTCATGTGGCCGAAACGGGCCCAAGTGTGGGAACCACCGAGCAAGACCACGAGGGAGCCCCACTCACACACACACACACACCCCTTCTAAACCCCGTGCTTGGTAGAGAGAAAGCAAAGAAAGGCCTGGAGCTGTTTAGGGTAAAACCAAAACACAAGTGACCCAGAAAAACAGCAGACCCTGACCCCGACAACGGGCAGAGGAACGCCACGGTGGTGCCAGGGAATGGCACAGGTCAGATCGCCGCCCCGCCCCCGGTGCCGGGAGGAGGGCCACCGCCACCAGCAGGGACACACACGCAGACGGCTTTACGAAGAGCGCTTTAGTAGCTAAATGTGGCACCAAGTGTCCCCAGGGTGATATAAATTACAGTGTGCCAAAGACGGCTGGCTGAGGTAAGACACGCTGCTCCCGCGCACGTGGCCGTGAGGGAGACGCACACGCACGCCCGTTAGAAGAGCGTCCCCCCGGGGGCGCCCCTACTGCTTGCCCAGGGCTCTGTCCAGGTTGCTCTTGATGGTGTCCAGAAAATCCGTGGTGTTCAGGAAGTGCTCGTTCAGCTTCACGCTGCCGAGAGAACAGCGCCCTCGTCAGGCCTGCGCGGCTCCAAGGCACAGGGAGCTGGGCACAGGCGCTCCAGGCCGGCGCGGGGAGACCGGGGCAGGTGGGGCGGGCGGGGCCGGGACAGGGGCTGGGCAGGAGCCGCCCCTCATGGCTGCGGACCCGCCCCAGCCAGCCCACAGGGGAGCTGCAGGGGGCCCCTCCATTGCCACCCACTGGCCCCCATCCACCCCCAACCCCATCTCCTACTTGCTAAGGCCGTGGATGCAGCCGGCCAGGTCCTTCGTCATGGCACCGCTCTCTACCGTCTCCACGCACACCTTCTCCAGGGTCTGGGCAAACCTGCAGGGCACAGGCAGAATGAGGCCCTGGCTGGGCCCCCACCCCCGGCCAAGATCCAGAGCCCACCCGGAGGCGAATTAGCGGGGGGTGGGGGGGAGCAGCTGAGGCCCCGCCCTCTGCACACACCTGATGAGGTCCTGGTTACCATCCAGCTTCCCCCGGTGCTCCAGGCCCCGAGTCCAGGCAAAGATGCTGGCGATAGGGTTGGTACTGGTAGGCCGGCCCTGTGCGCAGGGGTCGCAGGCGATGAGGAAGCGAGGCTCAGCCCTCCTCCCCTCGCCCCGGCCCTTGGAGCCATCAGCAGGTGTGGGCCCCTGGCGGAGACGGGCAGCACACATACACCTGGCCCTAACTCACCTTCTGGTGCTCCCGGTAGTGACGGGTGACCGTGCCGTGGGCAGCCTCGGCCTCGATGGTCTTCCCATCCGGGCAGACCAGCACAGAGGTCATCAGGCCCAGAGAGCCAAAGCCTGGAGGGCAGAAAGACCCTCCACTCAGTGTCAGCGCCTCAGCCCTGCCCCCTGGGCAGTCTGCAGCTGTCTCCACCCGCCCTCCCTGGCTGTAACTGTGCGGACAGCCCAGCCCCTCACCCCTTGTGGGTCTCCAGGGGCCACTCGTGAGCATGTCAACACCCATCAGCATCCTGCCTCCAGGCCGCGTCCCCCGAGGCTGCCCACCCCGCCTGGCTCAGGGCCAGAACGCTCATCCAAGCAGAGAACCCCACTGTGAGTGCTTTCCCAATCACCGCTCTCTCTGCTGGGCTTTTTCAGCGCCTTTCAAGCTTTCAGATCTACTTCCAAATGTTCCCAAAGGCCGAGGTCCACCTGGGTGACCTGTTCTGGCGTCAAGGACTCGGGGGGGGGCTTCAGATGCACCCCCCACCTCTGCCAAGGCAAGAGTGGTGACGGCTCCAAAGGGAAGCGGCTGCTCCACTTCCGCTGGGGCAGTGCCCCTCCGGAGCGGGGGGCCTTTACCCTCACCACTGCCCACGGACTCGAGGCCAACTCCAGCCTCACTGGTCCCTGCACGGCCCAGGGGCACTGCTCTGGCGAACTTTGCCCAGCAAAGCCCGACGCGTCACAACGCGCTGAGCCCCCTGCCTCCTCTGCACAGGCTAAGCCTCGCCCACCTCCCCACTCCCAGCTGCTCCTCCCTGTCCGGGCCTTGCACGGGGGCCCCTCTCACCATCTTCCCTGCTCTTGCCCCCCCCCCTTTTTTTTACACTCTTATTCTCTACTTGAGAGGAAGAGAGCATTCCCATCTATTGGTTCAGTCCCCAAATGCCCATAATGGCTGGGGGCCAGGGGCAAAGCTGGGGTGGAGCCCAGGCACTCTGATGGGGGTGCGCAGCTGAATATGGGGAGTTTGCTAATGTTTGCTGTACAAAAAGTCCTCCCCGTGATGGGAAGAGGAAGGCGGTCCTGCCTGATCCCGTCCCGCCTGGGTCCCCTGGCCCCGCCCACCACAGACAGGAAGGACCCCAG